TTCTCCAGAGCAGGTATGTTTCAGAAGTATAGGGTTTGCAATGTGTTAGTCTGATTATAATGCAATTAAAATAAAAACAGCTCAAAAGGGAAGAACCCAGCAAGGGAAGCAGAGGAACTCTGCAGAAGAGGTGAAAGGAAAATCTCTTGGCAGGCCGGGGTGTGCCCCGCTGCCAGCCGCTCCGCTCCCCCCAGCAGGGCACTGGTCTGGCCACGTGCCCGGTGCAGGCGGGCAGGGATGAAGCCCTAGCAGTGGGTAATGGGTTTGATGAGGATGGCAGAGCCTTTGCAGTTGCCGCTGCACAGGCTGCCCCACGTTATGGCCCCCTTGACGTTCAGCCGTACAGAGTAACAGGCCGAGTACCACCACCCGCCCCCGTAGCTGGAGGCACAGTTCCCGCTGTAAGTGTCCTGATCCTGATCTTTGGAGGAGAACTTCATGTTGTCGTGCATGGTGGAAGGACTGTTTGAGGCCATGGCATCCCCTGCCAACCCCGAGTACGCGCCCAGCCTCAGCCGGTAGCCCTGGGACTCATCTTCCACAATGAAGAGGTTGTAGTCTGCAAACGTGGCATTGTTTGCAGCATCCCAGATGACAAACCTGACCTGGTAGACCTTCTGCTTGGAGATCTGATGGATGTACTCGGTGCCCAGCCAGTACTCGGTGTGCACATTCCCAAAGCCGTACTTGTAGGTGCTCCAGGACTCGGCCCAGGTGATCTCCGTGCTCTGCCGGTTCCTCTGGATGACCGTCCAGCCCCCGTCCATCTCATTCATTTCACAGTACACCACGATGGGGTGCAGTCCCTTGGGCTGGATGACGTAGACGCCGCTGGGGCTGCCAGCGGGGACCTCGCTGCAGTCCTTGGGCAGACCTGGGGCAGGAGAGAGGGTGATTTAATAAGACCCTGTGCAACAAGGCAGAGGCACGTTCCGTAGTCCTCCTGTGCCTGGTTCTGCAAGACCAAGGCGTTAATGAGACCTGGATTGCCTGAGGAGCACAGATCATGCGAACGCCATCCTCACCTGCGCACACAACGCCTGCATCCTCGCTGTGCTTGCAGTTCTGGTCTCCCCAAGGCCGCAGCGAGCACTCAGTGAGGCGCTGCTCCTCCCCATTGCAGTTAACGTCGTCCAGCCAGATAGTCCCAGATCCACTCCCGAAATAAGCGTTACTTGGGGCTGATACTGCGTCTCCGCAGTCGAGCTGCCTACACACCACAGAGGCATCTCTCATGTCCCAGCCATCATCACACACCGTTCCCCACTCATTGCGGTACCAAACCTCCACCCGTCCGGAGCACAGGTTGGAGCCGTTCACCAGCCGGAGCTGACCTGGAACATGGAAAACAACAGTAGGGAGATTTGGAAATGGGAGCAGGGACGTTGCCAAAGAAAGATGGAACCCAGATCAGGAGGTACTTTCTGGCACAAGAAGTGGAGTCCAGGCAGTAAGATGCAGGGTCTTTACACCTCTGATCTTGCTCCCGGCTGGGGAAGGTGCCTAGGAGCCTTTGTCTTCTGAATTCTCCCTTTCCAACTATTTTTGGTGTGTTGTGGCCCCGGAGACTGGGCACAGGTTTGCCATGTGTTCCCTCAGCCAAGTGGTCATCAGCCATCCTCTCCCACCACTGCAGGAACTGTGTTTCATCCTCTTGGGACTGTGAGTACCCCGGGAGCAAGGCTGAGGGTGAGACAGGGGATGGTGCAGTCTGGTGAAGTACCCTCAGACAAGAGTGTTTCACAGGAGAAGACCACTTTTCTAGTTCTTAGCCATGGGAGAAGCGAAATATCTAGGGATGCTGGTGGCAGGAGAACCCTTCCTTTCTTCCGCATCTTTCCCAGTGACTGTCCCTACCGTCCTCCCGCGGGGCAGGGGGTGTGTGGGGAGGGACAGCCTTGGCTTCGGGAGGAGATCAGAGCAAACCCTCTGGGCTCCTCCACACCTCCACATGAGCAGAAAGGTCTGTGACTGCAAGGTCCCACCAGATGTTTGAGGAAGGGCAGGTGACTCATGCTGGGGCATTTAACTCTCTTGAGGGGATGCTGGGGCTCTGCTGGCAGCTCGGGGGGAGCACTGGGTTGGAAGATGCCCTCCCTGACAGCCCGCTCCGGCATGCTCCTAGCCATGTCCTGCTGGCAGAAGTGGAGACCTTCCATGTACCTACCGTTCACTAATGTGTCCATAGCAGATGCGCTGTTTTTCTGGACAGGCTGATTGAAGAGGGACGGGCTTTGGATGCTCCCAGTGAGCTGTGGACCAGGCAGGGCCAAGACACAGGCAAGGAGCAGGAGGGGAGCGCACTGGGCAGCTGGGGGAGGAAGGGAGAAGATGAGAGTCGAACAGAGCATCCCACTGCTGGCGTAAAACATGCAGCGGGGAACCAGCTGCAGCGAGGTGAAACAGCTGCAAGTCACCCCAAACCTGCGGGGACAGCACGGGGTTGCCTTTCAGACACAAATCTGGTAGCTGGACTCTTTGCTGTGCCCAGGCTTCCTGGCAGAGCCCGAGGTGACCAGGAAATTTGGGGAGCAAAATCAAGCAATCACAAGAGATTCCTTTGCAGATCCGAAGAAACTTGACCAAAGCGTTTATCTTTAAGCACAAACTTTAACGGAAACCTTGTGGAATATTTTCTGCCCCTCCAGCTCGCTAAACAGCTAGATGGTATTTCTACACTCTGGACACTCCAAATTAAAAAAATAAGTTACAATCAAATTAATGTAATAATGTTCAACTTAATTATAATAATAGTTATCCCAAGATTAAAATCTGAACCTTCATTTAAAGATGGCACCACAGCTGCACCTCTGGGGGTTACAGCAATGTGGGATTGCGAAACATCTGGAAAGGGACAATTTTTCCAACATTGCCTCTATTTTGGACACCCTACAATGATGGGCCCTTGGTAGCAATTGGAAATCTACGCTTTTCACAGACCGGTAAATTCAGTCTTACATTATTAACACATTTACACTTAGATTTATGACTCTGCTGGGCTAGAAAGAAAGCACAGTGACTATCTGCTGGACGTGAACGTACCCCTTCCTCTGACCCTGTCCCTGCTCTGCCAGGACGGAGCAGTACTCCTAGGAGATGAGTGGCGGCGATGTTTTTCTTTGTTCAACGTCTCCTCTGCCCCCGCTGACCCATTTGCATGGGGAAAGGCCACTCTGACCTTCCCTCCCTCAGTTTTGCCCTCCTGCTCCTGAGCACAGCCCTGGGGAGACCCCGTTTGCCCTCGCTTTGCCTGCACCCTGAGCCTCGCCGAAGCTGCTCCCGATGCGCTCGCAGCGATGCGAGGTGCAGAGAGCCCCTGTCCCTCCGGCCGGTGACGGGGTCTGCAGGACGGCCAGCAGCTCTGCACCCCTCGAGTATGACCCAGTGCTGCTCTGACCCTCCTCTGCTCCCTGCTCTCTGGGACAGGGACTTGCACGTCCCTCTCAAACCCTCTCCCTTGCCCTGGGAGAAGCAGCACGGACCTTGAGTCTGCCCTGTGCCGTGTCCTCCATCCCTGGGAGCAAAGGGACGGCTCCGCTGGGGGGAGGCTCTCAACACCCGCCCTCCGCCAGCACTGCTTCTGGGGGGCCACGGGCCAGGGAACCCACCCTGCCCTGCTTCCCATGCTCACACTCACCCATGCCGACTCCACGGGGACACTTGGAAGCCCAGAAAGTTACTGTACATACGCTTTGAGTCACAAGATTTATAGCCGTGCTGTACCAGGGGAGGAGTGCGGCTGACACTGCTGCCGCTGGGCCCGTCCTGTTCTCGTTTTGGGGCGTGTTAATGAGCTTCCAGCAATAGGGTTGTAACCTGAAGGGGTGCTTCCCCGCGGCAGGGATGTTCATCTGCTCTGATAAGAGCCCTTATCAGGACCTGAGCAAATACAGCCCAGGAGCGGCAAAGGCATCCTGGCACTTCCCATGTGTCAAGCAGGACTTTTGCTGGATATGCCACCAATGGGTGTCTGGAGACATTTGCTGAGCTCCCTCCTGTCACCTCTGCAGGGACAACCCTGGAGATCCAGCCCTGCTCACCACACAGCTGAGCAGGGTCCGCGGTCCCTCCTGCCAGATCCGTGCCGAGGTGGACAGGAGCTGGATGCAGCAAACCGGCACCGTGGAAGAACCCAGGGATGTCCCTGCTTTCTTCTGGAGCAAACACTGAGCGTGGCTCAACAGCGGTCATAGGCACGAAGCAGAACCAAGCAATGGTGGCAACCGTCCAGCTTGTCACCTCTGGGGCTCATGTCAGGAACGGAGCTAAAAGGACTGGGCCAGTTGAAACGTGAGAGTATTTCTGAGTCTCAGATGAAAGCAGGTATCACTCCAGGGAGCACCTCGTGCTGGGAATATCTCCTGCCTCTTCCAGCTCAGAGTGCAGAAATTGTGTGGCCCACAGCATGTCCTCTGCATGGAGCAGCCACGTGCCACCAGCCATCGCCGTGCAAGGCCCCTGCTACCTACACAACCTACGATGACAAATGACACTGTTTGCCCAAGCGAGCTTTGAGCTGTGGTTGCAAAAAAATACTGAGAAAAAAAACATTTTCCGAAGTCTCACATTTGAAAAATGACTGAATAATGTCAGCAGCTGCAAAACGTCATCTGCTGAGAGAGCAGGAGTTTCAGGACAGAAGGGGCTTTCCCCAGCAAGGCTGAGATGAACGTGAAGGTGAATCACAAGTCGCATTGCTTGCACGGAGAAGTCCAGGTTACCCCAAGACACTTCTGGCGTTACTCTTGGGCACTACCTTGCAGCTCAGCCGTTGGAGTAGAGCAAACAGGGAGGTAAACAGGATTTCCAAAAAAGTTAATAAGTGCACCAAGAAAGTGGGAGGTTTTTTTCCCCACGTACTCTGCCCATTACACGATGTTTCAAAAATATTTTCTCTCATAACTCATTTCTGCAGAGATGTGATGCTGGGACCGTTACCCTAGGAAGGATGGGATGTTATCCCATTCCCAGCATTTCTGTTTCATGACAGGTACGTGTAAATGCCACAAGCCAGCCAGAACCGCACCCCCCCCCCCGGTGTCCACGAAGCCGTGCCAGGCTCAGAGGAGTCCCGTCTGAGAGTCGAGGGTGTCCGGCCTGTGAAGTGGGGTATCGCCACGCAGACGATGCTCTGTCAGAGCTCTGAACAGGCACCATGGACCCACAACCGTTGATCACTGCCGGAACGGACCCGCACTCGCAGACCTCCCCCCGCACCTCCTGACTGCGGAGCCCACCCAGGTGAGGCTGAAGCGGCTCCGTGGCCGTGCGGAGACCCCCCAATGCTGATAAAAAGCAGCCCCCAGCAGCCCTGGCCCCCCGCCCCCCCGGGGCACGGGCCTGGAGCGGGGGCAGCCCCGGGCAGCGAGCAGGCAAGAGGCAGCTCCCACCACCGCAGGGATGCCCTCGAGTTGGCATGGGCTTGTTGAACAGCTGCCGCACGCTACTAGCAAGCTGTTCTCCACCGGTTTTATGGACATTTGTTTCTAAGCAGATGTTTCTACCTCCCCCTCCTTGACTTTTTCCTTATTGGCCCCTGGAGCATCTGTAGGATGGGAAATGTTTGTCTGCCAGCTGTGAGGTGTGAGCGGTGTTTCCTTTTCCCAGAAGAAATCTCAAAGCACATCCCGAGTAAAGAAAACACTGTATCTATGCTATCATGTACCTGCACACACACATAAAATTTTACTGCGATGGATCTGTCACTTTTGGTGCCTATTTCCAGCATTATCAACTAGGATTAAGTTTGTGTAAAGCAAATATTAATGCGTTGGGCAGATTGAACTCAGATATCAAATACTGTCCGAGTACGGGCAAGAATGAAATTCTTGTAATAGCTGATAAACTCTATCTCCCCGTCCACCAGGAGACAGGGGCATTGGGTTCCCCTCTCGGTGATGGAGGAACTTCCTCCTCCTCCTCTTTGGTTTCAATAGCTTCAGTGCCTGCAAGTGAAGATACCAAAAAGCACCATTTATGAACGCTTTGCTGCTTGCTGAACCCTGGTTCAGAAGCCAGGGCCTTTCTGGTGCATTTGCGCCTTTGTTCTTAGAATCACAGAATCACAGAATCGTTAAGGTTGGAAAAGACCCTTAAGATCATCGAGTCCAACCATTAACCTATCACTGCCAAGTCCACCACTAACCCATGTCCTCGAGCACCACGTCTGCCCTTCTTTTAAATATCTCGCACGAGTGTTGGTGAACTTTCCTCCCACCGCCATCCTTTCCTTCTGCTGCTTGGCCATTTTGCTCTGCCCTGCTGCCTGTGCGCGCGCAGGAGCTCCAGCTCGCTCCTCCTTTCCTCTGACATCGCCGGGGGGCTGAGGCTCTTCCAGGATTCTGAGCAGCGAAAGATCCGCTTCCATCTGCTTTCATCCAGGCCTGTCATAAGGATTTTGCTTTCCCCTTCCCATGTCAGACCGAGCCAGCGGCTGACTGTCTCCCCCTTCCCACCCTGTCGTTGGGACCCACGCAGGCACTGCTTAACCCCGAAGAGTTCACCCGAGCAGGGACCATCCCCACATCAGCGTAAGCGAGACCGTCGAGGTGACGGACCCCTGGTGCGGGGCAGAGCGAGCAGGAGGACACTGTTGCTCTCTTGCATCCCTCCAGCAACAGCCAAGGCCTGGGGTGACATTTGCTGCCGAGCCGAGCAAGCCAGTAACAACAACCCGCGCTGAGAAACTGCCTCCTGACTCCAAATCTGCATGCAGAGGGATGGAGCAAGTGAAAAGGATCTTCCTGACCCCTGCCAGTGACAGCTGGTGCTCTGAAATGTGCTTTTAATTAAAATCCACCATGTATGAAGCAAAGAAAGATGGTCAGCAGAGGCTGGGACATTCCCAGTCTTTCTTTTCCCAGCCTGCATGGACTTTCTGCTTCCATGCAGAAATCCCAGAGTTGCATCTGGCCATTAAACCAGGAGGCAACAGGCCTCTTCCCCTCCTAAAAAATCCGAGGACACCGCTAGCCCTGCACTGTCCCATGTGGTTACAGGTTAAGCCTCAGCATGTGAACAAGGCTCCTGCAGCACATCCCACCCCTCCTGGCTGTGACCGTGGTGCTCTGCTCACCCGGCGGTGATCGGGGATGCCACGGGGAGCAATGCTGACACCCGCCTGGCAGAAAACCAGTGGCAGCTGGGGACAGGAATGGCCGGAGGGGCCTTGTGCGAGGTGCTCCTGGTCTGAACTATGAGACAGAAACATCTCGCGGTTGTCAGCAGGCAGGGCCCCTTCCCCACGGCTGTTTGGGGCCAGAGGACGTGCAGGACTGGCGTCTCATTCCCCTGGGAACCCAGCATGGCACCTTCTCGTGTCTGGGTAGCTCCTCTCTCCCCTTCAGAGCATGTCTTCTGCTCCCCCATGAGCCCAAAGGACAACGGGAGGCACAGCAGGTACGATATAACCACATCGCCTACCTGCAACGTCCTGATTTCCTCCTCGATGCTCTCAGAACACAATGTGACCATTGACCGGCACAGGAGCGACAAGGAAAACAGATCTGCATAAGCACTGGACCAGTGTGTGAACTTGTGATTGAGAAAGAAATTGCTTAAAAAGGAGGGATTTAATGGCTAGCAAATGTGGACCAAGAAATAGAATCCTCTGAATGGCTTCATGGCTGCTGGCGAGCAGCAGCCGCGTTGTGCAGCGATGCCATCTGCTGCCTCCAGCCGCCGGCGAGCTGAAACCTGGGAGCCCGCTCCGCAACCAGCGCAGCGGGTTCAGGGATGGAGGGGCATGCTGCTCCTTACTTTCCATCTTCCAAACCCTGGACTTTATTGCCACGGATGAACTGATTAGCAAGCCAAGAACAAAATTAAGTGCTTTGACGGTGGTACCTCTGCGATGTTCGTTTAAACCACTGCGATGACTTAACAGTAGATCTTCCCTGATGGGGAAGGAGAGGCGCTGGCCTGCCACGTGGACTCTGCATCAACGAAATTTCAGCCTGGGGAAGGGCTGGGATTGTTACCAGCCACCTTGCGGGTAGGGCAGGTCATTGCTGATCTCCTCACCACTTTGTGCACTGCAAGTACTGCAAGTCCTCAGAGAAAATGGGCTCGAGGAGTTCACGGTGTGTAGATAGAGACATCAAGGACAGTCTTTAGCCGAGGGACAGGTTTGAACATGGCTTTTGAAAGCTGGCGTTGGCACTGGACTGAGTGTGACAAGAGCTGTTCAGGGGGAATTTTATTGGAGTTAAAATCAAAGATGTTAGCCAAATTCTCTAATTATATCCCTTTTTCTCCCTTATTCATATCCATATACAGCAGTCGTGATGAGCTTCGGTACCTCCCGGTGTCCTCAATACCTGCACACCAGCCGCGCTCTCCCCACACGGGGGCCGAGCTGTCCCCTTGGCCAGGCTCGCGAGCGTCGCCCCTCGGCACAGCGCGCACGAGGTCGCTGCAGGGAGCTGGGTGCACAGGGATGAAACACAAGGACGTGTGAGTTTGCCAGCATTATTGGAAAAATCCAGCTCTCCGGACAAATCCTACATATTCCAACCCAGGGATGGAAGAAATAAGATGACACAGATGTCTTCATGTCATCCCGGGGCCATCCGCCAAAGAGGCACTTCTAACACCCTTTTACTTTCGAGCCAGTGAATTTTCATATGCGCTCACAGCATGTGCAGCCCCACAGCGACGTGGATGCCAGGTTTTATCAGTTCAACAGAACATCATTTGCTTTACCGTGCTACAACACTCGCTTACAGCATCCTCTCCCCTCTGCCCACAGGTAGGAAATATTTTGAGGTCAAGGCTACTTGTCTCATGAAATACCTTTCCAGGTGTTAGGCAGCAAAATGACTTTTCTTTCTACCCCGTCCTAACAATTTGGCTGTGGCTACAGGCTTGGCAGGGCTCAGCCGAGCCCCGACTGCAGCAATTACTGCCCTGTCCTGGTTCCTGCACCTCGGGAGCCCACAAGTCCCCTCCAGGCTGGCCCTTGCCTCAGGATGGTTTCAGCAGCGAACTGATGCTGAACTGGACCTGACTGCAGGTCCAGCCACATGGTCCTGCAGTGGTGAGAGGTGGGGGGGCCTGGGAGAGACTCTGGTTCCCGGGGGAAGCAAAGCCTCAGCAAGGGCACGGACACCGTGCCAGGAGGAGGCACTGTGTTCATTAGCTGGGGTCACCAAGCTTCCCCAAAAAGACAAAACTGGTTAAACAACAGCTTGACATCATCTCCTCTTGGCCAACACTGAGCGCTACAGGGAGAGCTGTGCTACAGCGAGAGCTGTGTGACTTGGCCCTGGGATGGGCGTCCCCTTGCCCCTCTCAATTCCTCGGTCATGGAAACACAACACATTTGGAGGAGCTTCCCTGCCCACTTCCCAGCCTATAAAAAGTCCTTCTTTTAGGCCACAGCAAGTGGGGAGAGGGGAGAAGACCCTTGCTCAAAGAGACTCGTGGGTGCCAAAGGAAAGGTGCTGTGGTCAGGTGCTAAGGCCACCTCCAGGTGCAGAGGTGGCCACAGCTCCCTACTTCTTGTCCACACGGGCACAAAAGAGGCCCCAGCACCGGCAGCCCCACAGCTGTGACGGACCCCAAGGCAGGGTTTTCCCTCGGCGATGCTGAGCTGTGAGCAGATATTTCCTATGGGGTGGAGCTGTTGAGCGGGGTTTGCCCCTTGCCCCCTTCTGCGGCGCAGCTGCCTCTGCTGTGGTGCCAGCAACAAGCCCTCAGCTGAGGAGCTACTGAAATCTTCTCGCGGGGATGGCGTTATTGGCTCCGATAGTGAAATGGTGACTGAAAATACAGAAGTATGTATGTTTGTGTCTGGGATGGCCATCTACTGACGTCTCCCTCAAAACAGAACCTGAGGACTGGCACTTTGGCACCAGGGACGGTGCTGCCCCCAGCACACGCTTGTTCAGAGGGAAGGCTGCCGACAGCCCCTCCTGTTTTAGCAAGACCCCCAGCCCAAAAACATGCTCCAGGCTCACAGGTCCAGAGTAAAGCCGGAGCCTTTTGGTCCAGTTCAACAGCTCGCTGATGCTGGAAAGAAACTAGAGTCCAGCTGGATTAACTCCAAGCTGGAGCCAGAAAAGGAGGGGTGACACCGGCACGCCTGGGGTGCCTCGCCATTAG